TGGTTCACAGGTTGGCATTTAATCTACCGAGCCACACCAGACAGGGCAATTCTATGGTAGTTTTGTCAAAATAATTATATTATTTTTGAAGAAAGTATACAAAATACTTAAATTTTTATTGTAAATCTTTGAAAATGTAAACATGTTATTTTGGTAGAAGTTATGAGCTCCTGTACATGGAGACAGAAATATCTTCCAAATTTCTTTGAGTCCCTAAGCAGGGAATGATTCTTACAGGTTGTATCAGTAGTTTTGATAAATCAAATGGCTGCATTTTTATTAGGTTTTCTAGAGTACCTACTGCTTCAATCTGAGAAAGCGTTTTAAAAAAAGAAAACTTTCCAGCTCATGTCTTCTACCTTCTAGATAGTAAAATCTGCATGAAAGATTCACCATGCCCTGTCTGGTGTGGCTCAGTGGCTCACAGGTTGGGTTGCGTGCCAGCCTGTGAACTGAAAAGTCACCAGTTTGATTCTGTCAGAGCACATGCCTGGGTTGCTGGCCAGGTCCCCAGATGGGGGTGTGTGAGAGGCAGCTGATCCATGCGTCTCCCACACATTGCTGTTTGTCTCCCTCTCTTTCTCCCTTCCTTCTCTCTAAAAGTAAATAAAATGTAAAAAGATTCACCACGCAGAATCATCCTGGCGGTAAAAGAAGTGGGCTGGGGCTGCGTGGAGGTGTGCATCCTTGTCTGCTGGTCCCGGCGGCCTGGTGCGGCAGGAGGTGTGGGTGTGCCCTGGAAAGCAGAGATGAGCGGCTGTGGCTTTCAGACAGGAGGCACCAGTTGGTGGCTGGGGTCACTCTAGGGCTGGGGTCTGGGCTTTCCCTCACTGCTGACCTGCAGGCCCTCTGACTCATTGCCAGACAGAGATCCCAGGCCCACAGCTCCCTAAAACAGTGCATCAGGTCACTCTTCTGGTGCTGGGGCAAGGGCTTGGGGATGGTTTCACCGCCAGAGGAGTCAGCACCCCAAATGAGACAGTTCCTGTGGCTGGGAGAGTGTGGGTTTTTGAACCTGAAGATTTAGGTTCAAATCCCAGCTCTGGTACTCCTCAACTGTGTGGGCTGGTTAGCAAGTCCCCCAGTCTCTGGGTGAGGTGAAAGTGGCAGTACTGGTGCCAGACACTCAGGGTTGTTGCGGTGCTTTCCTAACAGTTGCTATGTTGTGGTCAGTTAACTTCGTCACAAGTGGGAAGTCCCCACGCTCCATCTGAGGAATCCAGGCGGGGGGGTGTGGGGGAGAACTGCTGTGACTGGTGTAGATGTGGATCCTGCGTCAGGGGAAGCTGGCGGACATGCCTGGGGCCACCAAGCCCAGTCTGAGCCAAACTAGAAGGGATGATTGTCGCTTTGGTCCTCACTGCTGTCCAGTTGGCCGTTCTTCATCCGTGGCCTTCTGTAGACCAGGGAAGCAGCCACTGCTGTAGCTGCTGCCACCAGGAGCCATAGGGCTGCCTGTGTTGAAGCCGGAGGAGAGGCCTTGCCTATAACTGCCTTATTGGCCCACCTCTTGGTGGGGGAATGGGCATTGCTGACCCAGAGAGTCATTTCCTGAGGTCAAATGAATTGTGTGCCCACCAGCAATAGTAAGTCCCTGCCCACTCCTAGGCATGAGGAGCCTTGGAGTTGGGTTGAGCCAGGCAGAGAACAGAGCCTAGCACCAGGTCCAGGCCTTTAGAGCCAGTCCCGGACAGTTCTCCTGACACTTTCCTTGTGATGTGGTGGGAAGATGCCGGTAGGGAAGCAGCAGAGCTTTGGGCCCTACTGCTCTGGTAAGTGAGAGCCATTCAGCTGTGGCCTGTTTCCCACTCTGGGCTCTGGGGTAAATCTTTGTTCAGCCAGAGGGTTCCTGGCTAAAGACATGAAGGCTGAGGGCACACAGGCTTGGGATGGATGCTGTGATAATGAGGAGCGACTTGCCCTTGAGCCCACTGGTTTGAATGCCGTATGGAGTTTGGGCTCCACGGTCTGGTCAGCTCTACCTCTCCAGTTATACCCTCGGTCTCCCTTGCAGCCCCTGGCCCTGCCATCCATCTGTTCTCACCCCCACACCTTTGCTTAGAGCTGCCCACAACCCTTGTCTTCGAGCAGTGTGCATGCACACACACCACACAGTGAGTATTTGAGCCCTGCCTCCCATTGTGAGCCACTCAGATCTTCACGCCCTGCCCCACTGACCTTTCCCTTCCAGAGGAGAGCTTCTCCTCCCCGTGCCACTTGGGAGAAGCTCCTTGGGGGGGGGGGGTGTCATTAGCACATTCACATGGGCATGCTTCTCAGACACCAAGGAGGCAGCAGAGGCTGAAAAAATTACTTGGAGGGGCTGCCTTGGGGGGTAGACCTGCCTGTCATCCCCTCAGCTTGCCTACCCTGTATGGTCCTGGGCCTGCCATGGCCCCATGGGCTCCATCGCTGTTCCCAGCAGGCAAGTACGCAGGCCCCTGTACAGCGCACAACCTCCAGTTTTACCTGCGTCTGTGCCTTTACCTGTACTTCTCCCTCCTGAATGGCCTCCTTCACTCTCTGCCCTGTGTAAACTGTGGTCCCCTTCGGCTCTCACCTTTGAGAGCATAGACACTCTCAAAGCATCTATGAGCAATACAGTTCTCTCTATTTAGCATTGTATTGGTGGATCTGGTCAGTACAGTAAGTCAGGAAAAAGAAATAAAAGGCATGTGGTGGAAAGGAAAAAATAAAACTGTATTCTTAGATAATATATTTTCAAAATTCTGAAGAAACTTCATAAAAGTTATCAAAACTAGCCCTGCCTGGTGTAGCTCAGTGGATTGAGCTCAGGCCTGCGAACCACACCATCTCGGTTCGATTCCCAGTCAGGGCACATGTCCGGGTTGCAGGCCAGTTCCCAGCGGGGGACCCACGAGAGGCCACCATACATTGATATTTCTCTCCCTCTCTCCTTCCCTTCCCCTCTAAAGATAAATAAATAAAATCTTTTAAAAAAAGTTATCAGAACTAATTGGTGAGTTTAACAAGGTTGTAGGACATCAGGTGAATATATAAAATATCAAATATATTTGTGTATGTTTAATAGTGTGATTGGGGTGACCTTTGTATACCATAAAATGTGCCCATTTAAAGCATACAATTCAATGGTTTTAGCATGTTTACAGAATTATGCAAATTATCATAATCTAATTTTAGAATATTTTTATTACTTTGAAAAGAAACCTTGGCCCCATTTCTCCACCCCCAAGATTAATTATATTTTGTTATAATAGCAAAAAAGTTGAAAATTAAAATTTATAAATAACATTCATAATAGCACCAAAAAATAAAGTACTTAGAGATAAATTTGTCACAACATTGTTGAGAGAGACTAAGAAGACCTAACTGAATGGAGGGATGCACTATGTTCATGGGTTGGAGTAATGAATATTATTAAAAGCCATCTATTTTCTTCAAATTGATCTATAGATTGAACACAGTCTCAATCAAAATCTGAATTGCCTTTGAAAGACACTGTAAGAAAATGAGAAGACAAACTAGACTGGGAGAAAATACGTGCAAAGCACACAGAAGAATTTATATCCGAATAGTTAGAACTCTTACAGCTTAATAAGGCACACAATCCACTGTTTTTAAAAGGAGTTAAAGATATGAACACCCAGTTCGATAATTTTCTAATAAACCAACAGTAAATAAGTATATGAAAGGAGGCTCAACATCCTTGGTCATTGGGGAAACACAAATTAAAGCCAAAATGATACTAAAACCACTACAACTTAACTAAAATGGCTAAAAGAAAGAAGGAAAAAAAAAGACAATTAATAACATCAAGTGCTGGTGAGAACATGGAACCTCATGCATCACTGGTGGGAACGCAAACCGGTACCGCCACTTTGGAAAATAGTTTGGCAGTTTGTTATCAAGTTAAGCATATATTTATCTTATAACTCAGCAGTACCACTTCTAAGTGTTTACCCAGGAGAAATGAAAACACGTATCTGTATCAAGCGTATGTGAATATTTATTGGCTTTATAGTAGCCAAGAATTGGAAATGACTCAGATGTCATCAGCTAGTGAACAGACGGACAGACTGCTACGTGTCCACTACGTAATGGAGTCTACTCAGTGGTAAAAGGAAACAGCATCCTGATCCTTCTAACCGTGTGGGTGAATCTCAAATGCATTACACTCAGTGAAAACACTAGTCACAAGACCCTCCATCTTCTGTGATTCCATTTATACGACATCTGGAGAAGGCCACACCATAGGAACAAATTGGTGTTGCCAGGGACTGGGGATAAGGTGGAGGGGGGCTGATCACAAATAGGCGTGAGGAAACTTTTTGGAGTGATGGAAATGTTCTGTATCTTGATTGTGGTGGTGGTAATGTGTTAAAATTTGTTAAACTTATGGACCTGTCATTTAAAACAGGAGAATATCATTACATATAAATTATACTTCAATATAATTTTTTTTTAATTCTTTTAGCTCTGGCTGGTATGGGTCAGTGGATTGAGTGCTGGCTTGTGAACCAAATGGTCACCAGTTCGATTCCCAATCAGGGCACATGCCTGGGTTGCAGGCCAGGTCCCCAGTAGGGGGCACATGAGATACAACTAAACATCGATGTTTCTCTCCCTCTTTTTCTCCCTCTTTTCCCCCCTCTAAAAATAAATAAATAAAATCTTTAAAAAAATTTTGAACCCACCATGATACATGTCAGAGGCTCATTTCAAGCCCCCTCTCCTTGAGGCTTTCTTTTATCCATCTTCTTGTTGCACAGACTTCTGGCAAGTTCCTTCCAGGTCACTCATTTGGTTCCTGCTGACCACAGCACGGGCTTCTTCAGTGGGGCTGCCTCAGCTCCTCCAGGGGGTAGGCTGCTGGACTCACCGCTCATTCGGCACAGCCGGACCCTGTAATGCTGACTGAAGCAGCAGTCTGGAGAGAGGAGTTTAGACCTGAGTGGGTTTTGGTTTGCTGTCTTTCTCAAGTACCTCTACTCAGCTGTGGCTATTCTCTTCCCCCACAGGTTGGGATAAACATTCTTATGGTTACCATGGAGATGATGGGCATTCCTTCTGTTCCTCTGGTACTGGCCAGCCCTATGGTCCCACATTCACCACAGGCGATGTGATTGGCTGCTGCGTCAACCTCATCAACGGCACCTGCTTCTACACTAAGAATGGTCACAGCCTTGGTGGGTACATAGGGGACCTTGGAGGGTTTACCCTGTGGAGCCACTTTGGTTGGTGAGAGGCCCAAGGGCAGGCTTTGAAGCCAGAGCAGTGTCCCAGATCCTCTGCTGAGCAGTGGGGAACTTCAGCCATTTCCAGGCATTGGAGCCCTGCACAGTGAAGGGAGGGCAGCATGGGCGCTCTCTTTGTTAATCTGTCCGACGGAGAGGCAGTGTCGCAGTCATGCCCCTGGCCTGTGTGATATTTGCTGCAGCACTGTCTGGGGCTGGTAAGAAGCTCGAGAGTCCCAATTACATACTTGAGTGGCAGTGGTTTGTGAGCCCAGGGCCTGGGCCCAGACGTCATCGGGCCCTTCTGACACTCAGGGTGACGGTTGCTGTGGAGCAACTGTGAGGGCTGCTTCAGTACAGGAGGTGCACAGACAGGGTGGAGTTAGATGGGGCTGATCTCTTCTGGCCTGTTTATGGTTAACAGACAGCAACCTGGACAGATTTCTATTTAAAAAGGTCTCTTTGGTGAGACTGAGAAGGATGGACTGACGGGAGTAGGGGCTAGCAGAAGAGGCAGGTAGCTTGAGGCAAGGCAGTGACAATGGGTGCAGGAAGTGGCGAACAGGAGTAGCCCAGCAGGGTTTAGTGCCAGATGGGACGCGTTAGCAAGAAGCAAAGATGATAAAGTGGCTGAATTCATGGTGTTATCTACTGGGATTAAGAACCCAGGAAAAGCAGCCATCATCAGTGGAGGCTGAGGGGGGCCCTGGAGGGTCCCTTGGAAGAGCAGTCCTGCACGTGTGTAGAAATTTAGGATTAGAACTTGAGAGAGAGAGGGAGGTTGGCTGTCCTAATGACTTGCCCTACTAGGGCTACTGATATTTGGTCACTGAGTGAGTGGAGTCCTTGGCCAGAGTGGTTCTTAGGTGGCGCCTAGCTGCTGGGCCTTCCTGCCTGGATTTGCAGAGCTCTCTGATTTCATAGAACCATACCAGCCAAGCTGGCCACTGGCCTTGCCAGGAAAAGAAGGTGGACTTTTACTTGGAACTCAACTCCTAGGAGACCCACAGACTTGAGGGGCAGTTAAAAGGGGGCTGCCATTCCCCACAGCCCTTCTGTGGCTTCTCCAGGAGATGAGCCCATGCAGAATCAAGGGACCTGTTGGAAATCGGGTTTGCTGGTGGCTGGGCTGTGCGATCAGGAGCCAGCGTTCCTCAACAGGCCAGAGCAGGCATCAGGAGCATAGCACAGACACTGCATAGCTGACTCAAGTGCACATCAGAGAAACTCTCCTCCAACATCCATGGCCATCTGGCTGCAGTTGCTGGTATCCAGCTGATGAGGCGCTAGCAGCTGGAGGGCAAGGCCAAGGTCCCAAGATGGCTCCTCACTCCTACTTAGTTCTCTGACTCCAGCTATTTCCTGGCTCTGGGTTTTTCTGCCATCTGAGTCCCAGAGGCCACTGCTGTGGGTTCTCACTCTTTACCCAAGCTGCCCCTCACCTGCCCCTCTACAGCCAGGCCCAGTCCCTTCTGCTCTGGATTCCTGCCCTCTTTACATTTCTCCAGCTTGCCCACACCTTGGTCAGAGCATGGCCCCTACTGTGGAACCCACAGGTTGGGCCATACCCTGCTGTCCCCTCTGCATCCACACCTCCCTCCTTGGGAGCCTAGATGCATACCAGGACCTACGAGCTCTTTGTCGGGTCCCCAGGTCCGTAAGGAGCTCACGGACACCTTACTGTCAATCCAAACTCTCACTCTGTTTGTAAAAAGTCATCTTCCTAGTTCATGTTTTTACAGACCCACATGCAAGACCTCACACATCTTACCACTAAACTTCATTTAGGAGTATATTGCCTATTTTTCCAGCCTGTTGAGATTTTCTGTGGTCTTGCTTGTTCTATCTCAAATATTTGGTATTCTTTTCAGCATCTCATTAACCTAAAATTTGATAAATTTATTTACGTATGTTTCCATTAAGATATAAAAAGTATTAGAGGAGAAAAAGGTTGAGATTTGAACCCTTTAGTCTATAGCTAGTTTGGGTAGACACCAACCATTTAAGAATCACCTCATTATGGGCCCTGGCTGATGTCTCAGTGGATTGAGCACTGGCCTGCGAATCAAAGGGTTACTGGTTCAATTCCCAGTCAGGGCACATGCCTGGGTTGTGGGCCAGGTCCCTAGTAAGGAGTGCATGTTTTTCTCCCTCTCTTTCTCCCTCCCTTCCCCTCTCTATAAAAATAAATAAATAAAATCTTAATAAAAAAAGAATCACTTCGTTATGTTATTTCGAAACTCACTTTCTTCTATCTTCTCCATGAGGATACTACCGAGATCTTACTAAAAATTGGATATCACCTGCATTTTCTAGATCATGAACTTTAATGGTAAGGCAGTGAACTTGGAGTGATAGACCATTTGGTTAATCTTCTAATGACTGCTTCCTTTTCACAATCCTGTTTATCAGTAAGTGTTCTTCAGAATCTCCCACAGGATCAACGAGCCAGTCACTCGCTGTCCTCTAACCTCAGAACCTTTCCCCCTTTAGAGAAAAAGGATGCTTCCTGGCCTCCCCATCCCTTTATTCTGTTGTCGTCTGTCACAGCACTCACCCTATGAGTCATTAATCAGTTGTCTGTGTAATTATTAGTCACATGCCGTTTCTGTTGCTGGAGTCAGCAGCACTCTGAAGGCCAGGCGTGCAGCTGATTTCCCAGTGCCTATCACAGGGCCTGGCTCCTGGGAGGTCTCAGCAGATGCTTGAGGATAAATAGCACGTGAATGAGACAGGAGCCTGACAGCTCATCCACGGGTGTTCCAAGCACTTGCAGAGTCACTTTTGTCCAGTTCTGTGCTCTCACAGCTTCTTAATGCCCTCAATCTCAGCACCCCCTGACCTGTGTGTGTTTGTCTCAGGGCACTTCGTATTAGCAAGTTTGAGTGTCCTGTCTGCATCCTGAATCTTTGCCTGGACCTCCTTCCTGTGGCCTACCCAGATTTTTTCATCTCAGTGGCCTTGCAGTGGCTCCCAGAGACCTGCAGGGCCCGGGGGAGCAGTCTTGCCCTTGTCCAGTGCGGTAGGGGTGGGGTAGCCTCTTTCCTCGTGCTCCTGCAAGCACCTCAAGGTCTTATCCTTCCTGAGTGCCATTGTGAGACAGAGCTGGTAAGCCTGCGTAGGTCACCTTCTGCCTAGAAGTATGGCAGTTGCCTCACCTGCTGGCACAACTGCAGCCAATTTCTACCCAGACCTCACAGTTTATGAAGCAGCTTTCATAGTGTCTCAATTTCTCTCTTGAGGGTCAGGATTAGTGTTCCCCCATTATTTTCAGATGGACTCAGAGAGGTTGGGTAACTCACCAAAGGTCACACTGCAGATAACTGCTGGAGCCTGGACTCTCCTTCCAGGGTCCTGTGGGCCACCGTTGTCAGCCGGTGGACAGCAGCAGCCTGGCCACACTGAGCTCCATGGGGGCAACTCTCATGCAGCCCTGGAAGGTGGATGTTGCAGTTACCTCCTGGGTGCTGAGGGGCTCCTAGGTTTCATCCCACCAGCTCTGTGACCGCTGGCTCTGCGTGGCAGGCTCCGAAGTAGCCTCCGTGGTGCCTGCCCTCCGCAGGTCACAGAGTTTATAAGCTTCCTTCGCTGTGGAGCGAAGTAGCCCCACAAAGAAAATGAACAATCTCTCTGTGCCTTGCTGGTCTCATCGGTAAACTAGTGGCGGAGACAGTGTACACCTTCTAGGTTGTTCCGAGGATTGAATGGCTTCGTGTTAGATCCCGAGCCCGGTGCCCAGCGCGGAGGAAGCACGTGTGCAGTGGCTGGCTGGCATGATGCTGGCCCCTGGTTTACTAGGAGAACCCTTGGTCGGATCCCTCACCTGCTGTCTTTTGTGGAGTTTCGGTTTCTTTTCTGTGTGGAGTTGGGAGGGCAGACTGGAACCTCAAGGAGTCAGTGATTTGAGAAACTTGGGCCAAAAAAAGGTCAGGGATTTCTAGAAGATATAAGAATTTATCTAAAAAATGGGAAGGCTATGAGTCCTCGGGACAGTCTCCTTCGGCCCTGTCGTTTCTCAGCCTGCAGAACAGGAGTGCTCTGGTGGGTATTACGAGGCTGCTCGCCTGCTGAGGCCTGCTCATATATTAGGGGTCCTGTTCTCCTCCACCCCCATTTATGATTCAGGCTGAGGTCCCTGGAAAAACAACCTCTTCTCTTGCCAGGAGAATTCAGAGGGTACACAGGCCAGTGTTAACCTGGACTTTGCCAGCTTGGAAGCCCTGGTGACTCTGGATGGGTATGGGATGGAAAAGGGCAGCCGCCACCTCACTATCTCCACTGCGGTCAGCTGAGAGGTGCTGCAGACTGTCAGAGGAGGCATGAGGCCAGCCTCGCCACATCCGGTAGTTTTATGGCTAAATGGCAAATCACTCAACCTCTGAGGTTTACTTTCCTCATCTGTGAAATGGGGGTAGGAAGCCTGCTCCCCAGAGTCGGTATGAGAGCCAGATGAGGTAATGAATGGGAAAGAGCCTGGCAGATATAGTGGGTTCCCATAAATACCTGTTGGATCACGAGAAGGATCAGGCCTGGAACGGCCTCAGCAGTAGGTCATTTGGATTTTGGTCCTTTCTGGGAGATTTTTTCTGAGGGGGTGGAAGAGCTGTGGGCAAATATTTAAGCATCTGACTTCACTTCTGGCCAGGCCACCCAGCACATAGAAGGCCAGGGTCCGAAACGATGTGTGCTTGGCCTCCACCAGAGGGTAGGTGTGGGGCCCAGCCCCTCCCCAGCTGTGGTGATGGACCCCTGTGGGCTGATGACTGTTCTTTCCCTCCACAGGTATAGCCTTCACCGATCTCCCGGTAAGTACTGCGGTTGGGTCTCCCCTCTTCGGACTCTCGGGGGCCGCCTGGGTTGGGTGTGGTGGTGTCTGCAAGCGCAGGGTGTGGAGCCTGCACCTCCCCCCAGGGACGTGTGCTGTGCCGTCTACTTGATGGTCCCAGTAGGGGTACCTGCTCGCCTTTCTCTCTCCAGAAGCAAGGCCTGGGCTTCCTCCATGACTCTTAGCAGGTGACAGTGATTTGTGGCATTTCTAAAGACAGCTGCGGGTGAGGAGATGAGCGTAGTTCCATGGCTCAGAGTGTGGAGAGCTGTCCCTGAACTGGTAGGCCCCTGTGCCTCTGCATTCGAGCCCCCGTGGAGAGCCAGTGCCCTAGGGGACCAGGCCTGCCAGCATGCAGGGAACCCCGAGCCAGAGAGTCAGAGCTTTGTGGGGTTTTCTCCTCTTGGAGTGGGGTGAGGTTTCTGGCTGGCTTAGTTCAGGGCCCATGCCCACCTCTTGCACCCTAGTCCTTTATTAATAGTCGTCACAGGCCTTGTCACTTGCAGGACCTCTGCCCGGGGTTCTGGGAGCCTGGCATGCTGCTCTGTTTTCCTGGCTGGGTTCTGGAAAGAGGAAAGGTTTGCTGACTCTGGTGGCTTCTTTGGGACCCTGGGCACTCCTGAGATGCCCAAAGAAGTATCGTGATAAGAAGCGTCATTGTGATCTGCAGGCAGGGCCTTTTGACGCCCGGGGTCCTGTTAGAGCCTCTCTTGTCTGTGGGTCAGAATCCTTCCCTCCCACCTGGAGGCCCCAGAGAGGGGCTGTGGTCCTAGCCAAAGCGAATAGACACGGGAGGAGAATTCTGACCCTGGCCGGGGAAGTCAAGTTGTGGAGACATGACAGAAAATAGCCAGACGTGTGGATAAGTGCTAGAAAGTGAGCAGATACAGGGAAGGCTTGCTGGAGGCGGTGGGCTTTGCCCGTGGCATGAAGGAGGGGAGGGGAGAGGAAGGAAGCTGAAGGTCTTGTAGGTTCGGAGCTCGTGGTGGGCTGAACCCAGCATGCAGTAAAGGCACACGATGCTCAGGAATGACACATGGCCTAAGGATAGAAGACAGAAGAGAGGACTGGGGTCCAGTGACAGTGGGGAGGAGGCTGGCGAGATGTGAAACAGTGGACATGAATGTGGGCAGTGGCAGTGGGGAGTCACAGGAGGCACTGAATGAGGGAGCGGCTGGGCAAAAGCAGGTCACGGCAGGGGATAGGTGGAAAGCAAGGATCTTCATACCCATGCAGGAGCATGCCCAGACCTCACCGGCCAGAAGACCCTCTTAGTACGTCTCTGACGGGAAGGGCAGTGGCCTCTCTTTACCCTTCGCCAGTGTCAGAGGATCTAAACCACCTAACCTCTTTGCCATGCTCTCCTCTTCCCCTCCCTTCCTGCCTCCCCCTATCTCTTCCTGCCCCCTCAAGTACCCCTTTTTGTGGCAAAGAGATCCTTGGTCCTGGATCTTCCTGAGAGGAGCCATTATCCACCCCTGCAGCAGATCTTCACGGGCACACCCGCAGGGCTGTGGATCCCGGTGTGCCTTTCTGTGCCCTGGGCAAGTCCTGAAATGGGACCTTGAGCTTTGGGCTTTGGGGACACTGTAGCCTCTGATGCAGAAAAGGGGATTCCATGTTCAGCCAGCTTGCTTTTCTTTTTGCATTTTTCCCTCAAGTTTTGGGGAGTAGTGTCTGGTAGGGAGGTGGGCGGAATGTGACTGAGCTCCACCTCCTCCAGCCTCACTGCACTTCTCTCAAAGCCGGGGCGACAGCTGGCGGGAGCTAGTGCCTTCCTCTCTGCATCTGCACCGAAGGAGGTGAGGTGAGGTGAGGCGAGGCCTGCTGCCCCACTGCCCTCAGGGCCTGACTGACATTTCATTCTCCTCCTCAGGCCAACCTCTACCCCACCGTAGGCCTGCAGACACCCGGGGAGATTGTGGACGCCAACTTTGGGCAGCAGCCCTTCCTGTTTGACATTGAGGACTACATGCGGGAATGGCGTGCCAAGGTCCAGGGCACTGTCCACTGCTTCCCCATCAGTGCCCAGCTTGGCGAGTGGCAGGCAGTGCTGCAGAAGTGAGTGCCCTGCTCCCGCCCTTACCCAGCCCTGCCCCATCCCAGGGCCCTTACTGTTCTGCAGGCCCCTGGACTGCCACAAGCCACTCTTATGACTCCAGTGGGTAGCGTTCCTTCTGGAAAGTTCGCCCAGGGTGGCTCTGTCTGCTGCTCTTCTGCTTCCCTCCTATCTGATGGATGGCTCCCGCTCAGCTCTCCACATTTGCTGTTAATTAAACCTTTGCCCACCCCACGCTCCACCCCAAGTGGGTTTGATGGCTCTCTCTGTAGTAGCTCTAGCAGGGCTGTTTTCCCTCCCCAGGTCATTTTACAGAGGATGTCCTAGGATGCCACCTGGTCTCTTCCTCTGTAGACTTTTCTTTTTCTTTCTCTCTCTCTTTTTTTTAACCATAGCAAGGATCTGTCATGTTATAATTCTGGCCTGAGGTCACCTCTCAGGGTTAGCATTTAGCTAAGTCCCCCCACGTGGCAGTGGTGGCAGGAAGAGAGTCTTCCTTGGACCAGCCTAGTAGCCCTTGGCTGATTAATTCCCAGACTGTTCTCAAAGCCAGTCTTGCTGAGGATCCCAAGGGAGGCCAGGATTGGGTCTCCCTTCCACTTACCAGTTGGAGGCCTGAGTGAGGCAGTGACCAGTACCCACTCTGCCAGGAAGTGGGTTAGCTTGTTAGTTTGGCTCCCAAGTTTCACAGTGAAGGGCTGGGCTTCTACTAGTCTTGGTCCCTTGGGTTGGGTGCACCTTGGGTTCTTTGTGTAGCTTTCCTTTCTTAAGGGATTGAAATTGAGCCAGGCCCCAGGGAGAGCTGAGGCAAGGGTGAGGTGGCCAGACCCTTCTGAAGAAGAGCAGCATGGCTACGTCTGGTTCCCAGTCCCCAGAGCTAACGAGAAGCTCGTGCTGGAAGGGCCAGCACAGTGCCAGCCCCTGCAGCAGGCTTGCTGGGATGGGCGGGGGCCAGCCGGCGCTGTCCCAGCTGTGTCGGGGAGGGACTGATGCTCTCAGCTTAAAGGCCTGGGATCAGCAGCACGTGGGTGCATCTGTTTATATGTGTGTATCTGTGTGCCGTGTGTGTTCATGTGTAGTATTCAGCAGCACCTGCACATTACTTGTGTTGATTTTACGGATATCATTAATGACTATATTATCATGGAGACAAATTTGCCAGAAGCCCCTTGGCCGGCTTCCCATGGTGGGAGGTTCAGGTTATTTCCTCCCTTTTGCTTATGTAGGTAACCCTTTTGTGTGTTGACTTTTTTTCCCTTTTTTTAAAGAATTTATTTATTTACTTTTAGAGAGAGGAAGGGAGGGAGAAAGAGAGGCAGAGAAACATCAGTGTGAGGTTGCCTCTCGAGCGCCCCGTGGGGAGCTTCGGGGGGAACCTGACCCACAACCCAGGCATGTGCCCTGACTGGGAGTCAAACCAGTGACCCTTTGGTCTGCAGGCCGACGCTCAATCCACTGAGTCACACCAGCCAGGGCGAGTTTTTTTTATTTAAGATTTTATTTCTTGGTGCCCTTTCAAGAAGTAGAATTATTTAATCAAAGGGGTTGTATATCTTAGTGGCATTTGTTGTAAACATCTGAGCCATGTGTTGTCAAAAAGTTTTACCCTTGTGTTTATAATAATAAAATGATAAGAATTATTACTTAGAACATCGTTACAAATACCTAATTTCATAATAAGAGTCTGTGCTTTGTGCTGGGCACTTTGTGTGTATCATTTCATTGCCCCATAAAATACAGTGGGACACACAGCCAAACTTCTGTGCCTTCTTCACAACAGCCCCTCAGACATCGTTTTTGGCAAGTGCAGAAATGCCATCAGGCACACGCACGCACCGAGGTATCCACTTCCGTATACATCAGACACGAGGGCTTGTCCTTCTGCCCTGCATGTGGGTGTACATGTGCTCTCACGCCACTATTCAGCCAGCTTTAGGGGGGACTAAAGGGCCACCGGGCCTCGGGCTTCTCAGGACTGTTTCCCCAAAATGGCATTCCTGTTGACCTGGTTGTTGCCAAATATATTGGCTTCCTGGGCCCCTGATTTGTGCCATATGGGGAGTGCTTGGTTCATGGGTTAGCTCCCTAAGACCCTGTGGAACTGGCATTCCTGGGGGCCAGGTTTGCCTGATGAGCTGGAATGCTCCTGCCAGGCACATAGAGCAGCCCACAGAGTAGCTCCTGTGTCTGTGGAAGGTGCGTACATGGCATGTGTCCTCCCCAGCTGGGCGGCTGCCAGACTGCTTGGCAGGCTGCCTTTCCAGGAAGCCCTCAGAGACACTACTGACCATCTCTGGACTCGCTGCAGTTCCCAGGGGCAGCCGCTTCCATAAGAAGATGGTGTGTGCCTGTGTGTGCTTTTGTTACCACGCCTGCCCACTTGTGGGCAGCACAAGCCAGAGAAACGGCAGCTGCTCCTCCAAGCTGCAGGACGGATGTGGAGACCGGCCCCAGCCCAGCCTGACTCCATAAGCACTGGGGGAAGTTTGCATTTTGTTTCAACCCTTTTATTCTCATTCTGTGGAGGTTGCACTGTAAGAGGAGTTAAGGGAAACCTAGGAGGGAACTTGTCCCTTTAGATGGTCAGTGAGAAATGCAGAGTTTGGGTTTTTTTTAATATTGAAACAGAATTTTTAAAATTATAACTTACATTCAATATTGTTTTGTATAGTTTCAGGTGTCAAGTATATAGTGGTTAGATAACTGTATACTCTACAGAGGGGTCCCCCCAATATTTCAAGTACCCCTCTGACACCATTCATGGTTATTGCAGTGTGATTGGCTACATTCCCTGTGCTATAATGTACATTCCTGTGACTACTCTGTAACTCCAAAAAGTGCAGTTCTGGAGTGTCACCTTGGGCATTTCCTTTCTTCTAGCATGGTCTCATCTTACCTGGTACATCATGGGTATTGTGCCACAGCCACGGCTTTTGCCCGAATGACTGAAACCCCGATTCAGGAAGAACAAGCATCTATAAAGAACCGACAAAGTAAGGCCGATTCTACTCTTCCCTCTCCCTCCTTCCCTCACCCATCCCCAACTCTGCTCTCTGGCTCCTGCCAGCCTTGGGTGGCCTATCCGGAGTCCATGCAGCTCTGTCCCTCACTACCAGGAGACCAGCCCAGAGCCCCAGCTCGGCCCCAGGCCCTGCGTCTGTCCCTCCTTCAGGACAGCGCTGCCCAGATGGACAGTTCGGCAGCATGGGGGTGTCTGAGCGCAGCCTCCCTACGGCATGCCCTGCTGGCTCGGCACGGGCTAGGGCCTGGCATGGCTGGATCCCCCTCCTGCCTTGTTCCCTGCCCCCTGAAATCTGAATTCTACTTGGTGTCGTGTTCGCAGTCTTCTGAAAAGAAGTACACTTGTATCTTAGGCCAGTGTCCTGCCTTCCACACTATTTACTCAGCTTTAGTAGTTCTGCCTGCTCCTGGTCATAGAGAGGACTGAGTCGTCAGACAGGGCAGGGGCTGATGCTCAGTGGCTGCTGCCGTAGCACCTCTCTCTGCTCCCCACCTCTGGTCTTGCCCTTTGCAGACAACCAAAGGAAGGAGCCACAGGCAACTTTCCTGGTGTTCATACTGGCCTGTGTCCTGTATTCAGGGCTTGATTATGGAAAGAGGGTGATGGGAGAGAGGAAACGGAGCCCAGAAAGGAGTTAGGAAGAGGAGAGAGGAGTGAGGGAGAATGGGTACGTGTGTGCCTGCTTGTGTCTCTCTGAGCCTGTCGTCTCTGTGTGTGTGCATGCGTCTGCGTCTCCCAGAGAAGCTACGCCCACCCAGACAGACGGAAAGGGATCCCAGACTTGGGATCTACGATAAGAGCCTCAGACCCAGAAGTCGCTCCCAGCAAGACACACCAGGCTCCAGGGCAAGATCAAGCTGCTGATGGCCTGAGCGGTGTCAACATCAGAGATGCCAGTGTGAGGAGGATGGTCTCCTCTCCCGGCAGGGAGCTTGCTGCAGCCCCCGAAGACTGCCGAGGCATGGGCTCTGGCCCAGAAACCTGTGCGCTCCCTTTGCCACTCCCATTGCCACACCCCTGCGAGGCCTGAAAGGAGAGAGATTTGTCCAAAGAGGAGCCCCTAGGGTTGCCAAGCTGCCTGGATGCCCACCCCCGGATCGTGCTCCCACAGCCAGGGCCCTCCCCCAACCCAGGTTCTTGGTGACCTGTGCTCCACAGGAGCAAGCCTCCAAACTCACCCTCCTGCCTCTGGGCTGAGAGTCCCTGCTCTGTTTTTCCTTCTTATGTTTTGAAGACTCCCCAACACTTGGCAGAAACCAGAGTCTATGTGGGGCTGGGCAGCCAAGTTCTTTATTCGGCCTCTTCTGTGAGCATCTCGGCTGGGCAGCTCTGAGCCAGAACGCCTGACTGCTGGCCGGTCCGTGCTCTGGGCTGGCATGGTGTGGGCATGCATCTGTGAGGAAGGTTTGTGGCCCCTCGCTCACTGCGGCCGTGTTCTTGCTCTCTGCAGAGATCCAGAAGTTGGTGCTGGAGGGCCGTGTGGGTGAGGCCATTGAGACCACACAGCGCTTCTACCCGGGGCTGCTGGAGCACAACCCCAACCTGCTCTTCATGCTCAAGTAAGTTTTGGGGCCTGCCAGCTCCCCCATAGCCCAGCCCTTCTCAGCTGGTGGTGGGAACACACAGCCTGGACCGAGCCCAGAGCAGTGCCGCTCTGCTCCCTCTGCAGGTGCCGACAATTTGTGGAGATGGTGAATGGGACCGACAGTGAGGTCCGCAGCTTGAGCTCCCGAAGCCCCAAGTCCCAGGACAGCTATCCTGGCTCCCCCAACCTCAGCCCCCGACACGGCCCCAGTAGTTCCCACATGCACAGCACAGGTCAGCCACTCTCCAGACGGCTCTGGGAAGTACTGGTGTGGAGAAGAAAGGCCACCTGCATACTTGTCCCTGGGATGGGCTTAGGGTTCACTGCTGGATTTGGGGGAAGGGAAATGGGGCCGCTGTCGTCATTCCCAGGGCCCCACTCAATGGCAAGTTGCCCCTCCTCTTCTGACTTGCCCCTGGCTTACAGGTGCAGACAGTCCCAGCTGCAGCAATGGCATCGCGTCCGCCAAGAGCAAGCAGAACCACAGTAAATACCCTGCGCCCAGCTCCTCCTCTTCCTCCTCCTCGTCCTCCTCATCCTCCTCATCCCCATCCTCCGTCAATTACTCCGAGTCCAACTCAACAGATTCCACCAAGTCCCAGCCCCACAGCAGCACCAGTAATCAGGAGACCAGGTGCCTGCCTTACTTTGCTGCTTCCTCCCGCCTTCTGCTCTGTGCCATCTGGGCCCCTGCAGCCTGTCTTTTGAGTGCTGCCCCCGGCACTTCATCCCGCACCTCCATCCCTGGTCTGTGTCCGAAGTAGTAGCTGCTGACCTGCCAGGCATTGGCACCAGCTTCCGACCCCACCAGTGGTCCAATTGCCACTCCACTTGGCCCTGTTTTTTTTCTTTATTTGTTGATTTTAGAGAGAGAGAAGAAGGGGGGTGGTTGTTGAAGAGGGGGAGAGAGAGAAACATCGATTTGTTGTTCCACTTATTGATGCATTCATTGGTTGATTCTTGCATGTGCCCTGACTGGGGATCAAACCTGCAACCTTGGCATATCGAGGTGATACTCTAACCAGCTGAGCTATCCCGCCAGGGCTACTTGGCCCTGTCTTTATCCAGAGATGCCAACACTGCCAGGTTGAGAATGTGGTCTCTTTCAAGGAGACCAGGCTTTAGAACCTCCTAAGTCTATACTGAAGGAGTTTTGGGGGGGCTTAGCTTGTGGTCACCCAGGTGGGGCACATGGTTTTTAGGCTACAGGCTACAGGTGGCTTTTAGCAGCTCCCCAGCATGCCTCAGGGCTGACCTGGTGTGGGCTCCCAGAGATGCCTGTTGGAGCTCACAGGCCTCGGCCATTGGGGAGTGGGCAGTGCTTAGGACAGGCCAACTCAGAGGAGGGTCACAGAGGCAGCACTGGGACAAGAGTGGGAATCAAATGACAGGCCACTGGGGACAGCTGCTGTCACAGCAGGGCCCCTAGTGTTGGAGCCTGAGAAGCCCAGGCTGTCCTTTCATGTTCCCAGGGGCCCTCAGTTTACCCACAGCAACCTGGGGCTGAAGCCTGAATGCAGGCCCCACCAGGCTGCCCCGACCACGTCCCCTCGGCCAACCCCCACCCCAACCCTTCTCCACAGCGACAGTGAGATGGAGATGGAGGCAGAGCATTACCCCAATGGTGTGCTGGAGAGCATGTCCACACGCATCGTCAATGGTGCCTACAAGCATGAGGACCTGCAGACAGATGAGTCAAGCATGGGTGAGGGCTGTGCCCCAGCGTGGTGTTCCACTGGTGTAACACTCAGTCCAGATGCCCCTGGCCCCTGGGAGGGGGTTGGGATGGACAGGCTTTGGCAGCTTGAGAGGCTCTGGCCAGACCTGGTCCGCTGCCTCCTTAGCCAATTATGAATGAGTACTTGAGGCAGGAAGGTCTGGCCTGCTGCCAATACCGGGGTGCCTGTGTTTGAGGCTAGTAGGAGTTCATGAGAGTGGACACCCTTATGAGCCCCTGCGCATCTGTACAGGGTGGGAAGAGGGAAAGCTTTTGAGTCTCCTGAAGAGCAGCTCGGCTATGGATGGCCCCCATGCTCCTTCCCTGCCCTGGCTTGCCTCCTGCAAAAGCTGCACCCCCTCACCCCCAAGGTCCTTCTTGCTCTGTTCCCTTTGAGGCCCCCTCAAGTTCTCCCTTTCTCTCCTCACCCCTCCGGATGTGTTCTCTGCTGGACTCTGGGTGCAGATGACGGGCATCCTCGGCGGCAGCTTTGTGGGGGCAACCAGGCTGCCACAGAAAGGATAATCCTGTTTGGCCGCGAGTTGCAGGCACTGAGTGAGCAGCTGGGCAGGGAGTACGGCAAGAACTTGACCCACACAGAGATGCTGCAGGTACAGAACAAGCCAGGGCCTCACACAGAGAGGGTCCCCATTTGGTAATGGGGGCAGGGTGGCTCTGGGAGGGCCCTCGGGACAGCAGCACCAGGACAGAGTGGGCTCTGGTCAAGTCTGCAGGGGGAAATGGGACATCCAGGCTGTGTGGCACCCTTTTTAGGATCCGGGGAGGGTATAGCCCTCCCTGACCCAGCAGTGGGGTATGTTGTACCCTCACTGGGCACCACACAGCCCTGAGTCCTGTGGGGCCATGGAAGTGTGTGTGTGGTGTGTCCACAGTCGTCTCAAGAGTGCCCTGTCCCCTAGGATGCCTTTAGCCTGCTGGCGTACTCTGACCCCTGGAGCTGCCCAGTTGGCCAGCAGCTTGACCCCATCCAGAGGGAGCCTGTGTGCGCTGCCCTCAACAGCGCCATTTTAGGTAAGTGGATGTAACAAGGGTAGAAGCTTGCCCATCAGTTCTGGGTGACCCCCTCCCTTCTCTCCGGAGGAATTGCTGATGTTTGTCCAAATCGGGGCAGTGAGTTCTGCCCAGGAGCTCTCTGGTGGCCCATAGGACTCTTGGGCTCCAGTGGCTGAACCCAAATCCTGACTGCCCTTTGCCCAGCTGAGTTGTCTGGCTGCATTGTGATGGACCCTAAGTTGTGCCCATGGGCCCAGGGCAGCCCACTGCTCTGAAGAAGGCCAAAGTCCTTGGGTTTCCGGCATGGCTACAAGGCCATGGCCTGGTGGCTGGGACATGCTCACAGACACAGGTGAACACTCTCTTCCCAGAGGTTTTGTTCACTCTTTTCCACCTTGTGCTCCCAAGGGAACTTTGACCTGGGCCCAAGCCCTAAGCAGGGCAGTGACTAGGCCTTATCTCTCCTCCACAGAGTCTCAGAACCTGCCAAAGCAGCCCCCTCTGATGCTCGCCCTGGGCCAGGCAACTGAATGTCTACGGCTCATGGCCCGCGCGGGCCTGGGATCTTGCTCCTTTGCCAGAGTCGACGACTACTTGCACTAGCTGACCATGCTGGCTGGCCCCGCCTGGCCCTCCCTCAACCCCAGGGCTGGAGCAGCCTGGCCCTCCATAGGCACTTGGCGCAGGGACCTGGAAGCCACAGGCAGAGTCCACTCCTCCTGCCTGGACTCCTTCCTTTCTTTTCCTTTCCTTTCCTTTTTCCCCACCTCAGTCTCTCTCCCCTATTCCCCCTTCACGTGCAGTGGCCTATGACGCAGTATCGGCTGGTTACTCTCATGTAGCACCTTCTACTTTGAAAGGGGGGTTTTGTTTTGAGGAGGGGTTGGAGTTTTTTTAATCTTTTTTCCCACATGACTGAGCCACCAGTATTTATCTCTGGAGAGTTTGTGCTGAGCTGGTTCCTGCTAATTTAGTGATGAAGCCTATCCAAGTTGGTGATAGCTTATTATTTTCATAAGTAAAAAAATGAGATTATATATATATATATATAAATATATATATTACAAAAAGACACAGTATTTATCGTAGTGTTAGTCCAGCACCTCTTGGGTGAGGCTATCCAGACACCATATGTTTTTATTTGAGTCCAATTCATTAAAAAAGAATCATCTCTGTAACCTCAGCCAAGTGATTTATTTTAGGCTTCCCTTTGTTGAGCCCCAGGTCCAGCTGCAGTGTAGGGCAGCCCAAGAGGCTTTGGGGTGGGGACACTTAGTGGGCAGATCAGGCTAAGCTGGTTTGAAGCATTCAAGAGGTGTGGGTCCCCAGGCCCCAGAGAATTGGACTGAGCGGAAAGCCAGTAGGGCCGGCGGTCCAGAGAAGGAGAGGAGTTGACCCAGGGCTACACAGCAAAGCAAAGGAGTAGAGAGTCCTTGGCCAGCACGCTATCTACCATTCTACCCTGCCTTTCACTGCCTGCCTTGCCCCTCTTTCTCTTTCCTTTTCAACATCCTGCCTTCTCCTGTTGTTAAGATGGCCAAATAATTCATTTACTCTAAGATGATTGCCTGGAAACTACCTGCCTTTGACCCGAGAGCTGCTGTGTGTCAGGCTGTGGGGAGGAAGTCTCCATTTCTAGGACTGAGGCCCTTGAGTACAGGGGCTGCCTTCTTCCTGCGTGGATCTTCACTGACTGCACAACTCTGATGGAATCGATGCTTTCTGTTGAGAAGCCAGGACCTTGTGGAGGCAGATTCTTGGGCTACCAGTAACTGGAATGGATGGAACCCTTGACCCCTAGGCCAGGCCTCGCTGCAGCTATGCCAGGAAGCTCCCTGCAGTTGGCCCCAGCCACTCTTACGAAAGACTGTTCTGAGTATTTGCTGACCGGAGGAAGGGACCTCATAGGCTTTACAGATGCCCCACCAGCTCTGTCAGATGGATCCTTACAGCTGGTGGATCAGAAATAGTCCTGGTACTGCTATCAGGGAATCAAGAAAGGAAGGGCTAAGCTGGTTCCCGGGACATGGGTGGGCCGTCTGTGGTGAGGACTGACAGCCCGGGAGGAGGAAAGGGAGGAAGTCTGCCCAGAGGAGCACCAGCAGGGCCTGCGATTTCCCCACCTGCTTCACAGTAGAGAGGTGCACACAGCAGTCCCTGCCTGGATCTGGCCTGGGCACACTTCTGCTCTCTGTCAGTGGAAACAGGAAAGGGTGGGATGGCCTGAGATATTCAGTGCCCACCAGGCCTTGCTGGGCCCCCAGCTGGACAATGAGAGAAATGATTGAGTTGGACCAGCTCCTGGTGATGGGTCAAGGACCTGGCCCTGTGCTGTCGACTGAGTTCTGCCGTGGGACATGATCCTAGGCATTGCTGTGTTTTCTTGGTCCCCACCAGGGCAGTTGACAGCCCACAGACCATGGCCCATCAGGGAGTTGTCCTGTGTGCAAACAAAACTCATGTTGTACAGGGCTGAGGATGCCTAGCCCCCAAACCCAGAGGTTGGAAATATCAGTCCGTTAAAAGGGTCAGAGCCAAGCAGGTTGGGAATTAAAATCAGAGGCATTTGCAGCTGGAATGGAGCTCAGAGAACGTCTGCTCCACTAGTTCTCTCTTTTATAGATAAGGAAACAGGTCCAGGAGGTTAAGTGACTTGGCCAGAGTCACACAGCAGATTGGCACCAGAGTTGGGACTAACCTCATCCCTGTGGTTAGGCAATGCAGTTTAGCCCTACAGCCGAATGGCAGGTCAGGGGTTAGGTTCGCAGTGTGAGGAAGGCCTCCAGCAGGGTCTGAGCAGCTGGTACTTTCAGGGGTGTGTCAGGGATGGGGATAGGTGCCTGGGCTTGGGGTGTGGAGCATCTGAGAGAGGGTCCAGGAGGGCTCGGGACAGCTATGTGCTGTTTGGGGTTGGGTGTCTGCCTGGCTTGCACTCAGTACCTATGGCCATCTCCCCATTTTCTGTGCCTTATCTCACTGTTTCAGCTGAGTCCAAGTTGTTTACTCTGTTCTTCTCCAGAGGGGCGTTCTGTCCCAGTTGGACAGCTTACCTTTGGGACATAAGCCTTTGCCCCACAAGCCGTGGAGAGGACCACAACCAAGCTGCTTGAGCCCACAGTCTTGCTGATATAGTTCAGGCCTGCCTGCCAGCCGGAGGAGCCCCTTATGCACATTCAGCTTTACCAGCCTACTTCCAGGAGCCAGGAGTGGGGAAAGCACCTGGGAGGAGACCTGGTGAAAAACTGGACTCGACCCAAAGGGTCAGGAGGAAGAGTTAGCCCTATTGGGTTGTCCAGCTCTAGGGAAGCAGCTGTTCTTATTTACCTTTTCCTCTGTGCCACCAAATGATTGCTCCTTCCAGAGGGGAAGGAAATAGGTGGATCACACAAAGAAAGGCAGAACCCCCTATCTTCACCTATGTGGGTCTGTGGCTGGATACAGGCCTTCAAAAAGGGGACATCAAGAGATGGAGAAGTGGGGCTGCTCGTCCACTCGGCACCTTCCTCCCCCTTAAGCAAGCACAAAGGTGGGGCAGAGAACTGTCAGAGCCGAACGTTCCCACGGTTGCTCACAACTCAGGTATGCACACTGTGTGGCAGCTGGGCAGCAGGGCCCCGCGAGACCGCCAGTCCTGTGCACCCAGACCTGCGGCCAGATGGTGGACTCTGGCTGCCTAAGGCGCCACCTTTTTGCATCGGGTTCACCTCCATTAGTAACTACAGCTGACACAGACGTCCTCCCCATCGTGCACACTGGTTCTGCCTTTGTCCTCGCAAGTTGATACTTGGCATTAGCATGAAACTTGTGGGTGTGGGAGGGTTTAGAGAGAATTCTAACACAAAACATCCTATTAAATTGTACTTGAGAGATGAAAAACTCCTGTTGTATTTTGACAGAATTATTTTTATTAAAATACACATCATGAGCAGTCACGAGTACCTGGTCTCTGTTTTAGTCTTATTGGGGCTGGCACCCTTGGGTGTTGTACAGTGTCCCAGAGGGTTTTATCTTTTCTCAGCCCACTTCACAAATACCTAGGCCCCTGGTGCCTTAAGGTCTGTCAAGACTGGGTGTTTTCAGCACCCCAAAGAGGATAGGTACTTAAGCTTCAATTCTCTCCCTCAAAACAACTTTTATCTGAGACACAGAGAAAGCAAATTTATCTTCAGAAAGTTGGGCCACAGGAGCTCATACCCACAAAATAATATTTTTTAAAATTGCAAATAACATTCACCCCAAACACTAGACAGTAAAAAAAGAGCTTTTCTGAGGGTTATCAAGGTTACCTTCCTGTCAGTCTGGGGAGAAAGACCTTGTGCTCAAAATCCTAGTTCTGCTTACTAACTAGGTAACCCTGGAGAATTAACCTTCCTCCATTTCAGGTTTTCCATCCTTAAAATGTGGTCAATTCTTCTACCCCGTGGTGGTAGGAGATTCTGAAATGCATAGGGCAGTGTTGGGCACATAGGGATGCAGAACAGGTGACCACCCTGCCTCCATGAGGGTGCTCCTTGGTATGACCGGCCTGCGCTTGCCTCATTCTGCCTCCTCTGCCCCCACAGTATAAGGGTTTGATGCAAAGAAGGGATACAGTAGCTTAATGCTGCTGTCTACCCGGAGGCAGGACTGGAAACAGAAAGAAATCAACTATGAGGCTACTGCAGGCCAGACAAGAGGACAGGTTTGACAAATATTTAGTAGGTGTTGAGCACAACAGGATGAGCAACGGGATGTAAGGGAGATGGGGTGGGCATGAGACAAGGCAAATGCAGGCTTTTGATTGGGGTGAAGCGATGGGTAAGAGTATAGGGAACAGAAGGGAACAGGTGGTGGCTAAAAGTCATGAGTGGGGGAGGTTTGCTGGACAGCAAGTGGATCCACGTATCAGAGAGACATCATTCCTGGAACTGGAAAAGGGTTCCTTGGTCCAGTATATAAGGAGAGCTGTCATGGTAGTCACAGTGAACATCATCAGCTAATTAAAAGCTCTAAAAATCCTATGTAAAGATGTATAGCTTAACCCATCCCTTTCCAGACTTACTAATAGAATGCTCCACTCAAGCATTTTACAGGACAATTACTCTACGGAACTCTCAGGGAAAAGCTAGTGTAGAGAGAAGAGTGAAGTACTAGATAAGCACAAGTGTCCTTGATTCCATACGTAAAGCTAGAGTGATTTCCCTCTAGGCTAGTTTCCCAACCTGGACCAATTTTGCCCCCAAGAGGACATTGGAAATGTCTGGAGCTCCTTTTCTTTTTCAATAGATTTTATTTATTTATTCCTAGAGAGGGGAAAGGAGGGAGGAAGAGAGGGAGAGAAACATCTATGTGTGGTCGCCTCTCCTGCTCCCCTGACTGGGGACCCTGGCACATGTCCCAACCGGGAATTGAACCATTCCCCCCCTGGTTCCCAAGTTGACACTCAACCCACTGAGCCACACCATCCAAGGCAAAGGAGTTATTTTTTTAGTCACAGCTGGGACAGGGTACTACTGATACCTAGTGGGTAGCATTCAGGAATGCCACTAAATAATGCACAGGCAGTTCACACAACAAAGAATTATCAGGCCCAAAGTGTCAACAGTGCCATTGTTAAGAAACTGCTGTAGAGTGCAATTTTGAACAATGACTAAGACAAACAGATCAAACATAAGCACACTTTGATTCTGCCTTTGTGTCTGGCAGTTCAGAATCCAAGGGAAGAAATAGGGAATAAAATCCCATCAGAAAAGTGAGCTTTGAGATTACAATTATTCCTCACTCCGGAAGCCCCCCATGGCTCACGAAGATGACAAGTAGTGGTGAGAAGTTCTGTCCCCTGCCAAAACAGGGACAGCCCTGCTGGTTAGCTGGTCTCAATGGGAACTGCCTCAGCGCAACTGACGTGTTCTATCATTACAGGCAGCTCTGGAAAGAGGGCTAATGAGCTAGAGGGAGAGGAGGTTCAGACTCACCAGGAGAGTCAGACAACAGGGGTTGTCTGCTCCCCATGCAGAAATAACCCCTAATCCTACATTCCAACATGGCCTTTTATACTAAGGTTTACTGATTTCACTATTGGATTTGGTGAATCAAAGATGGTCTTATTACAAAATGGTATTTATTTGTGGGGGTTGGTATAGGCTCCAATGAAGAGATCATGCGGACTGAGACCACAGTCCTTGAGTACTAATACCTAAGGAATAACTAAACATCTAGGAAGCCGTGAAGTTCGGCAAGCGAATTCGGGAGAACTGTCCTTCTGCAAGACAGAGCTGTCCTACAGCAGCCCTTCATTCCTGGGCAACCAAAAACCACCAGTTTTTAGAATCTCCTTGCTTGCTCTGACTTTGTTCTACCTACTGATGCATTCATTATTTGACTCTTGTGTGTGCCCTGATGACCTGGGATCAAATCCGCAACCTTGTTGCTTCCAGGCGATGCTACAACCGAGTTACTTGGCCAGGGCAGAACCGCCTTGCTCTCGGCAGAACCGCCTTGCTCTCGATGCAGCTAGAAAGGATCCGAGGTTGTAACACTAAGCGTTCAATCCCTCCGCCACCGGAAATGAATGACCAAGGCCTCCAGCCAGGCTATTTAACTCCCCCCTCACACACACCCCCTCCCCACAGCCCCGCCAAACAATGAGCGAGCATGCGCAACGGGTCAGGGCTCCTCCCAGCGCAGTTCCACTCCCCCGTCAAGGAGCATGCGCAGATCTCCCGCCGTTCCCCCCTCCCGCCACCCCCCCCCCGCCGCCCTCGCTCCCCGCCTCCCTTGCTATAGCCCCCGGTTCCTTAGAAACCAGGCGGCGCGTTCTGGTAGCAGAGCGCTAGACACCGCGGCGGGTGAATTCCTGCCCGCCTCCTTCACTGGGGTTGGCGTCCGCTGAGACCGTCCGGACCCAAGGTCTCCTGTGCGGAGCGGGGCGGGCAATGCCAGCGTGCCAGGTGAGCGGCGGCCTGCGGTAGCCGGTGAGGATGGAGGAGGGCATGGCGCGGTTAGGAGCGGGCGTCGGCCGGGCCTCTAAGGCGGCCGGGCGTCGGAGGTCGGAGGCGGGGATACGCAGAGTCCGGGCCGGAGGCGGTCGTTCGAACTGCGGGCGCTGGTACTGAGTTCGAGGGTCGCCCCCGGAGTTCGCCCTCCCCACCTCAGAAGTAGGACCTGCAAGTTTGGTCGTAAAATTTTGGCTCCTGGAGGGACCTCGCTCCTAACCCCATCCCTTTTACTGGACGGGGCTCCCCCGCCCTACCTGTGTGAGGAGTGACGCTTTGTGGGTGAGGATGTGTGGTCTGGATGCTTCAGACAAAGGGCTGGTGAGGTAGCTGGTCATCCTCTTTCAGAGTGAGATGGGACTTTTAGCAAGGGTAAGTCTTTATTTAAGGAAAGAGTGTTCAGGTGGCAGGTGGGAGAAGGGACACCCCAGGAGGTGTGGATGGCTCTGCCAGCCCCAGAGCCCACGGGCCATGTCTCAAGGGCCCTGGCCTGCCTTTGAAGCTCAGAAAGGAAGCAGATGGACCTGCGGAGACAAAGGTGAGGTGAGGCATTCCCATCCAGGAGGTATTGTGACGTGAATGGGGAGGAAGGAAGGAAGAGGGGGCGGAGAGATCAGGACTTAGGAAGGACTGTGTGAAGTTTCCCTCCCTAACTACTGCGAGTCGGAAGAACAGGACAGGAAGAAGAAAGTTTGAAGCTGTCTTGGATAGACCAACTCAGCTTGTACCCTCTCTTGCTTATGTTCTTTTTCCCCTTAGTGTCATGCTGAGGGCGAGACACTGGAAAAAAGTAGGTGCCCGCTGAGTGTCCAGAACCAGGGCCAGCCACCACCCAGAGAATCTTTGTAAGCTTTGGGCACAAAAGTCTCAGGAGGAGGACCCCTTAGTGTGTGACCCTTCCTTTGAAGGGAACAACTGTTAAATTTAAAAAGACACTATTATTGTGATATGAAGAGCCATGGGGATGGTTGTATTTGAGTTAGAAGAAGCTAGGTTCATTCTTTTCTTTAAAAAAATTTTATTATTATTTTAAAAGATTTTATTTATTTATCTTTAGAGGGGAAGGGAAGGAGAGAGGGAGAGAAATATCAATGTATGGTTGCCTCTCGTGTGTCCCCTGCTGTGAACTGGCCTGCAACCCAGGCATGTGCCCTGACTGGAAATCGAATCGTGGTCATTTGGTTCGCAGGCTCATTCTCAGTCCACTGAGTTACACCAGCCGGGGCAGATTCATTCTTCATAAGGAAACTCATTTTATCCTGAAAAGCTATACCAGGGAACAAGAGTTGTAAGGCTGTCCATTTTACAAAAAGTGAAAAAATGACTGCCTTTGGACTAGGAGTTTAGAGAATGAATGTCTGGACCAAGAGGGAAAATTTTTCAGCTGGCAGCTCTGTTGGTGAAGCCCCCATTTTACAGATAGTCTGTTGTGAGAGGCTTTCTCATACCACCTGGTTGCTCTACTTTTCCTGTGAAATGATTGATCTGGGTTTGGTCAGTTTTTATTTTTATTTCCTCAGAAAATTCAGATATAAAATGTCTGTAGTAATACTAGAACCCACTAGTAGTAGGATTAGCAATGAAAAAAGCCTCCCCACCAAAAAAAGAGAAATATTAAAGATTTGTAATATGGGGGAAAGAAATGTGCAGTTTTTAAACAGATGGTCGCTGATTCTAGTCAAAAAGTCAGTTTATTGCTAGCTTGATAAAACTAGTCTTTAGTGTATATTCAACTTTGCAGCATTTTTTCACTCCCTGAGTGATAAGAGAAGGTACATTAAAAGATGATAATTTTAATAGGCCATATTAGTTTAAAGAGATCACTTTCGGCTCACAGATCAATGCCCGACCATAACTATTGTTATGGCCTGTGAATATGGTCTATATTGTGGCTGTAAATTTAACTAAAATATAGTAAATATGCAATATTACATTAGTTTCAGGTATACAGAATAGTTATTAACATTGCACGGCTATGCATTTTATTGACTTTTCTTGCATCAAGAGAAATATGGGGTATTATCAGAAGGGTATATAATCTATGGGTGAAATTCACACTCTTAACCAAATCCTGTCAGAAAAGTTTCATGAAAGTCATTGTATTCTATGTAGAAATCCTCATTAATATCACTAGCACAGATAGAAGACAAATGAATAGGCCAAAGTTAAGGTAAGATTGATAGGGAGCAATCAAGTACCATCTGCAGAGCTGGATGAGATGTGGGAGCATGCTTTGAATGTATGCACAGGTATGTTTGTGGGTTTTTTTTAAAGATTTTATCTATTTTTAGAGAGAGGAAAAGGCAGGAAGAAAGAGAGAGAGAAACCTCAATGTGCAAGAGATACACTGATCAGTTGCCTCTCACATGCCCCCAGGGGTATGTAACCCAGGGCTGCAACCCAGGCATCTGATTGGGAATCGAATGTGCAACCTCTGGGTTTGCAGGTTGGCATCCAATCTGCTGAGCCACGCCAGCCAGGGAAGACACATTACTGAATGAGCAGTTGGAAAAGATACTGCTTAAATGCAGCGAACATGCCCCGTGGATTTGTGTGCCTTTCTTGAGCTTCAGTAATCAGAAAGACATTTGTTTTCAGTCGAGAAAGATGGACTTAGAGACACTCAAAGTGTTTCTTCGTTTCTATGGCAATGAAACCTTTGACAAATAATTACTTAACATCTACTCTATTTTCTGGGGCAGCTGAGGACAGTTATCAAATCTGGCCTGTAATAAAGTAATCAACAGTATTTAATAGGCCAAGGTACGAGATAAACCAGTAATGCCAACAGGATTTACTTTCACTGAACTGATTTTCTAGTTAAACAGTAAGAGGAAAAATTAAATGGAAATGCAGTGCTGTCTGATGGAAGAATTTGTAATATACAGACATCAGAAAATAGAGGACTCAGACATCAGGGACCTTAGAAGAGCCTTTCTGATGTCTGACGTCACTCGTGCATATTTATGGAAGGTCCAGTTCTGGAGTAAATCCACCATTGCAATGGGGCATCATCTAGGGAAAAAAATGGAGATTTTGCTCTTTTTGAGAATTCGTGTACAGTATAGTAATGGGACATTATTTTTAAAAAATTTTTAAGATTGTATTTATTTACTTTTAGAGAGGGGGGCAGGGAGGGAGAGGAGCATCAATGTGTGAGAGATACATTGATTGGTTGCCTCTCAGGCATCCCTACTGGGGACCTGGCTTGTAACACAGGGATGCGCCCTGACTGGGACCCTTTGGTTCGAAGGCTTGTGCTCAGTCCACTGAGCCATGCTAGCCAGGGCAAAAATAATTTTTTGAAGTTTATTTCCCATTTTGAGACACTCTCCCACCCCCCAAAGTGTCTTTGTGCTTGTGTAAAGGATGACATTGAACTTGTTTTCTCTCTGCCAGCTTTCACCCCTCCTGGCTTTATTGATTATGTTAAAAGTGAGGGGCTGGGCGAACAATGGCGGGGGCTGGGCGGCAGTGACATCTCTTCCTGTCTCAGATATCAGTGAACCAAACAGTAATATGGTTACCTAGACAATGAATTTAAATGTGTCTAATTGAAAGGTGACTTACAGATCTCGTGCTGCTTTCTAAAACTGATATTTCTTTGGTGCCTGTGGATGGATAGTTTCCACCTTATGGTCTCTTGGGAGCTTGTCAGTGGTTTTGTAGGACAGTGTCCCAAAGCATATTATAGGAAGTTTCATGTGGTTAACAGTGTCTGCAGCCCAGTAGTGGTTCTCGCTAGGAAATGATTTTTGTCTCGGAGGAAACTCTCTGGCGGTAGCTCTGGGAGCATGTGAGATGGTGTGTTTGTCATGCCAGGCATCCTCCGATTGCCCAGGAGTTGGGGGATGGTAGAGAGATCAGCTGTACCTCCTGTTACTTTTCAGCCTTTTGAACTCATATTCCTGGGCCAGGGCCTAAAGGGACATAACCTGTACTTTGGAGCAATGAGAGAAATAATTCAACACAGTACTTTTTAATCTAATGTTATTATTAAAAGCGAATCATTGTGCTTAAATGGCTGTTTTGGTTTCCGTATCCCTGGGCTTGCTCCTGGTTATTCTTTTAAATATATTATCTTTGTTTCTCCTTACTTCAGTGCTTAATGTCCCTGACATACCAATATTGTTGCACAAAGAACATTTAAGTGCCTTTGAGTAATTCCCAAACCATTCTAAGAGTGTTACTCCAAAAATATTTTGGAGTTTTAAGTTTCAGGGAACTGTTTTCTCCATGTTTTTTTTTAAGATTTTATTTATTTATTTTTTAGAAACATGGGAAGGGGGGGAGAAAGGGGGAGAAACATCAGTCGCTTGCCTCTCACACATGCTCCAGACCTGCAACCTAGGCAACCAGAAATCAAACCGGCAACCTTTACCTTTGCAGTATGACACCCAACCCACTGAGCCACGCTAGTCAGGGCTGTTTTCTCCTTAATACCATATATAACCCAGTCTTGATCGTGAAGGAACTTAGAGTCTCAGTGGTAAGACAAGACATTGTGCATCATTTAAACAATAATTAGAAAATTCTAAAATACTGAAATCAATGGCTATTTCCAGGTAGGTATATCCCATATACATATTGTATTTTATAAATAGCCTCCTTCATTACGTGCTAACCAAAAGAAAAAAGGAGCTAATGTGGCAGGCTGTCCTGAGCTTAGATTATTTTACATCTCCGATTTAATAGTCAGAAGAGTGTTAAATTACAATTGAGCATGGTCATGGGCTGGTTGGTAAGCAGTTTTCTGCATCCAGGTAGAACATTGGTCCGGGTTGCCATGCTCTGAGGTGCCCTAAGAATGTCCTACACTCACCCTGGCTGGTGTGGCTCAGTGGATTGAGTGCCGGCCTGTGAAACCAAAGGGTTGCCAGTTCAATTCCAGTCAGGGCACATGCCTAGGTTGCGGGCCAAGCCCCCAGTTGGGGGCTTGTGAGAGGTGACCAGTAAATGTATGTCTCGCACATCTATGT